TGTGGATTGTGTGCTAAAGAAACAATTTTTCTCCATTCTAATAAAAATAGTTTTTGTCCTCTTCCTACTATTTTCTTTCAGAGTTCCTATTACGATTTGAGATGTGAGTGTAATGTGAAATTTGGAATTAAGAGAAGGTCTATATGAATAACCGGATGTCTTTGAAGCGAATTTTCATATTTTTACTCTTATTATTTCGAATCTCTGCCAGTCATTAGACATGCTAGGGAGCTCTAAATGCTATTGAACTGAATAAAAAATTACTCTCTGTAATGTAGCGGACGTACATTTTTTGTTTTTAACTTTTTTTTTCGAAAAACCTTAATTTCTTTTCTTCATAGTTTCCTTCATTTATAGACACTTTTCAGAAGATTTTCACGATCAAGGAAGAAATTAGATTTTCAACAAACTCATCTCTTTTCAAGCTGTTACGGTAAGTCTCAACTAAATTTTCACATGGATCTGAAATCTGTTTGATTAGAGTTGTAGGAACATGTGAATGTGAGACAACAGAATACCAGACCGGTATCTATACCATACAACCACGCCCTCTAATTCGTTGCAAAAAAAATTCCACATAGAACCATGTTTGTGGGTGTGGGTGTGTATGTGGGTAAAGAGGAATAGCAAACACCGACTGTCACACCCACACCCGCCCTACATGAAAACTTAGTAGATACAGCTTCAAGACCTTACTTTCCCACAAATATTGCAGCGATCCATTGAAACAATTCGGAAGTAGAGGTGTCACTCTAACTTTAGCTTTAAAAATAAAGTCAAAGTATTACTTAAAACTTTAGTTTCTCAAGTTAAAGTCACACTCCTATTCGGAAGTAAAACTTATGGTTATGGGATCATATTTTGCCTGAGGATTAACCATCATATAACCGATATGTGTAAAAAAAACTGTACAGCATTGTTAGTGAACATCAGAGACCGAAACGGAGCGGGGCCCCGGGGCGGGGAGTGTTTTTGGGTGGGCGGGGCGGGGGCGGGGAGAAAATTTTGGTGGAATAGCGGGGCGGGGCGAGGGCGGGGAGACAAAAATAAATAAGTCGGGACGGGGCGAGGGCGGGGAGACAAAAAAATAAATAAGTCGGGGCGAGGCGGGGGCGAGGAGACGAAAAATAACTTAGGTCGGGCAGAGCAGAATGAAGTAGATTTCCCGAAAATTTCCCCTTTCTTCAATTTCACATTTAAAACAATATATTGTTTCTTCGTTCAATAGAGAATAACAAGAAGAACTATTGATTAACCTATAGCTATATCTTTTCCCTGCACATGTTACTTATTATTGTTTTCTGACTATCTTTTTGTAACATTGTTGTTGTGCCTGTATTTTTTTTGTATTATCATATCTATTTCTGGTAATATTCTTTTTTTTTGCGCTCTCATATTCTTGTGAATCTTTTCTGTAATATTTTGTCAAATAAATCATAAGGTCAGCAAAAACAAACTTTGTAAAAGAACTTAATGAAAAACTGACAAAGAGTCAAAGAAGGATCGGGAAAAGTCAGGTTTGGGAAAGCAATTGATAGGGCGAGGCGAGGCAGGGCGGGGCGGGGAAGCAAAAAACAATATAGAGCGGGGCGGGGCGGGGACGGGGAAGCAAAAACTAATATAGATCGGAGCGGGGCGAGGTGGGGAAAGCTTTTGACGGGGCGGGGCGTGGACGGAGAAGCAAAAAAAATAAAGAGCGGGGCGGGGCGGGGAGCGAAAAATCCACCCCGTTTCGGCCTCTGGTGAACATTTACCATGCAGGATATTTTTTAAAACAAATTTATCTTCTTCATATATAATCAGCCGAAAAATAGCAACACAACACTACTGTATGATCTTCTTACACTATGATAGCTAATGATGCACATCTGAATAGAGGAAGTTCATCCGCTCTATTCTTTATTAGCGATGTATTTTTTTTCCGCAAATTTATAAACTAAGACACTCAAATACCTAGAATACACTCGTGTTCAGAATATATCTTTGGACAGTATGATGAATATTCGATAAGTACTAAGATGAAAAGTTCAAAGTTCACAACTCCATAAATATTTTGGTAGAGGTCTACTTGAGAAGCTGAGTATATCAATATTTTAATATACGTCTTACTTTATAATTTATTTTAAAATCCACAAAGAATGGATGTGAGTGTGACTGAGGCATTCTTTTCAGCAACTAAAACATTCACACACACACTCACACCCTCCGAGATCATTAAAAGTGACGGCTCACGAGCTGTTCGAAATCGTTTACAACATTTGGTATTCCAAATATATCTCGGCTCGGAAAAATGATAAAATCTGGATTTTTTAAAAAGATACGCCTTCGAAAGGTCTACAGAAGCTGCATCATCAACTTTTTATAACAAAACAAAAGTGTTGTCCAAACACTTTTATCATGCTCAATACGATGATACATAACACTGGCATACGGGTTGTTCATTTTGAGTATCTAAAAATTATTACACCAATTCAATAGGAATTTCTTTACACAGTTTTTTGTAGAGCTTTTCACGGTGCATCTTTTAAAAACAGAATTTAACATTATAGGATTTATCCATGCTGAGATATTTACGAAATACTCGATGTTGCAATTATTTTGGTTCACCCAGTACGATGAAATGTCGAATCTTTGACAATATCTATTTAAATTGAAAAATGAATTATACTGAAAATTAGCAATCTTTGTATCATCTTAAAGAAAAACTGTCTTATGTTCATGATAATGTAAATTTTATTTATTTCAGCATGAAATAAAATACAAAACGTTTTTTGGAACAGGGTGTGGGTGTAGGCTAGATCGACTTGTACACCCACATCCACCCTCAAGAACGTATTAACAAAAGAGAAGCCATTTTAGTGAGCAAAAACTACGCCATGTTACCGTTTAGAATGAGCTAAGAGATGGAAATGAAATTTGTTAATCGTTAAACAATATAATCCATGACATCTAAGAAAAATTGCAACTGCACGATGTTAATTTCGTTCAAATTTTCGACGTGTTTTTACGATATTAGATATATTTTTTTTTCATCCGTTCATGGCTCGTTAAAATATACGCGTTTTTTCCGATTGTTCTTTTGTTTAAGATTTCGGGTTTATCAATTAAACAGTCTGCTTGAACTAAAAGTGACAATTCTATATTCGAAAGTTTCTTGAAAGAGTGTCCTGCGACTTTTTAAATCTTTCAATATTATTCCTAACTTGGAACACCATCAAATTAATTTGACATTATTCTCTGTCAATCTGTTCGAAACTGTACCATTACAGTTGTCACATATTCGTTTCATTTTTCGAATTTGAATTATGAACAAGTAACGCTTGTACTTATGACTACTTGATCCTCGATTCAATGGTCAACTTTTCTGTATAACATAATTACTACTATCGGAATTTTAAAAGAAGGCACCTGGAAAAAAGCTTATAACTTTCGAACGAAAAGCCATAGCGATCTGCGGTTTTCAGCAATCGATAGAAGATTATAGGGGGCACATTCTTATATGAAAATCAAGGTTTAAACAATCGGTAATTGTGGAATCACTGAAAGAGTAGGCTCGTTATTTGGTGAAATCTCAGCAGAATAAGCTGAAACTTTCAGCATATATAGCCCCACTGTACCCCAATCTTCGCTGAAAATATCATCGATAAATCTTGTAATGACGAGGAATGGTGAGCCAATCATCATCTGGTCTTATATAAGACTCTCATTCAATCAAAATATTAGGAAATGGTCTCAACTTTTGGCTGAATAAACACCATAATCTAGACTTCATATCTATGCAATTATATCATAGTTTGATTAAATGAACGAGAAGAGACGGTGAAAATATTACTAAATTCTGCATTTCTCTTAAGAAAGTTGGAAAGATTTGTTTTCAAATACTTATTGTATGAAAATCATTTCTTCGTCGAACTTTGGCTATTTCCGTACATTTTTACGATCAAAGTACGATGCTATTGCATAGGTATGAAGTCTAGATTATGATATTTATTCAGCCAAAAGTTGAAGCCATTTCCTAATATTTTCAGTGAATGAGAGTCTTATGTAGGACCAGATGATGATTGGCTTACCATTCCTCGTCATTACAAGATTTATCGATGATATTTTCGGCGAGGATTGGGGTACAGTGGGGCTATATATGCTGAAAGTTTCAGCTTGTTCTGCTGAGATTTCACCAAATAATTAGTCTACTCTTTCAGTGATTCTACAATCACTGATTATTTAAACCTTGATTTTTATATAAAAATGTGCCCCCTATAATCTTCTATCGATTGCTGAAAACCACAGGTCGCTATGGCTTTTCGTTCGAAAGCTATAAGCTTTTTTTCCGGGTGCCTTCTTTTAAAATTCCGATAGTAATTTACCAGCCCGATCCATACGAATATAATATGTACATAGGAGAGTAGATGTGAGTTGCGTTATGAGTCTAAGTGTGGATGTCGTGATAAGTGCGGTTATAGGTGTGTTTGTCGGTGCCCTTATCAGTGGCTATGTTGGTAGGGATGTTGATGTTCGTGTAGCGTAATGTTTCTCTTCAATCATTCAGTCAATTACATTTAGAGCTACGTACCCATGACTATACCCAAATACAGACACCGTGACACATCCACCCCTAACATCATACATCGCATCCCCGTCCAAACCCCAGCACCACAAATACATCAAAATCTACCAACAGCTATACTTGAAAATCACATCAACACATGTATAGCCCATATCCACATCCACAACTCCACATATACAACAATACCTACACCCACACTTATACCCATAGTCTAGCGAGTCGCTAGTGTTCTCTATCTGCCACTGATCCACGCCCTACACACATACCCACCCATACCCAGACCTGCATTCACTGACACTCACACCCTATCTTTTTCCTGTTTTTATTAAATACCGATTGAGTCATATTTGAGACAGTTGAACGAGATTCAATTCGAATCATGAACGAAAAAAATTTTCATAAATTATATAATTCGAGTGATTTTATTCTAAGAAAAATGGCAACAGGAAATCAATCAAATCTATGTTCAATCTGCAATAAACCTTCAGCTAAATATCTTTGCATTGGATGTAAAAAATGTTTTTGTGCAAAGGATTTCAATGAACATGAACAACAACTGTCGATAAAATTCGACAATGAAGTCGTCCGATCACACAATGAACTTCTTGATCAAATACGAAAATTAGAAAGATCAAATTCTTTATCATTAGATCTTTTTGAACAAATTGAACAATGGAAGAATACGACAATCAACAAGGTAGAAAAAGCAGCAGAAAAAGCTCAACATGAACTTACCGAATTAATCGATAAACAAAGAATAGCAATAATAAAACAATTTGAATCAATTACAAGAGAAATTCGTTATCGTCGAGAAGAAGAAAATTTTGTGGACAATGATATCGATGAACTTAAACAAAAACTTGAACAATTTACTCAAAAAGATACTACTAAAACTATTATTGTAACTAATAATCAAATTGATTGAAATCGACTTATTTATATTCAAGAACAACAATTAGACTGTGAGTATATTGCACTAAAAATATAGAAGCAAAAATATCGTCAAGCAAATTAATCACATATTATTTATCATTCAATCCCACTTTTTTTCTTTTCATAAATCAATCAAAATTAATGCATTCATAGGTTAGAGTTACTTCAAAAGACGCAGAGTCATCGATAAAATTGAATTAAATGTCATTCGAAACTTATAGGTTTGACACAACTGAGTAGATTTTCATTCAAAATAAAAAATATTTATCCTTTCAAAATTTGATTTCGAATGTTAATAGAAATCATTTCTGTAAAACTACATAGAATAATAATTTGGATTTCATTTTAACAAAAAATTCCACTATTGAATATTTGAGATTACGAGACTCCTACAATGCATATCAAAGTTCCATATTTATTCGCTACTAAAGATTAACTTGAAAAGAGCTTGTCAGCGCAGCCTTTGTCGGACTAAAATATGGAATTTACATGTCTTATTTAGCTTCATTATACTAATACAAAATATGCAAAGTGTTAAATCCTCCAAAAGACGATAGTTCTTTCCCAACGATGATTGATTCGATTGTCAGCAAATACTACGTCTTCTTTACTTATACATTTCGAACAGAAATTTTGTTTATTTTTCTTTTTGACTGGCCCTCTTTTTTATTTGCTTGTTGCTATTCATTCGATATTTATTTTCTTTTCATAATTTATTATTAGTCTAACTATTGATTTAATTGACAAATAAGCCTATTATAACACATTCGTTATATCACCAGCAGATCTTAACAACTTATTATGTATCTTGGTAAACTCTGAAACACTGATATTGATTATGTCCAAAAGTTAAAACTTAGTCAGTTCATGCTTTTGTATTAGTCATATGACAGTTGTGAGAAATCACAGCATCATCTTTGATATTCACCGATGTCTAACTGGAAATAAAACCATTTTTGATATTCACTCTACATATATGACTCCAAAACTCTGCATTTATGGTCCTACAATTAAGAACTAGGGTGTGGATCAGGTATGGGTGTGAGTGTGCAGGTGTTAGAGGAGAGGATGGCAACATCTATACCCACACCCACCCTTTTTCTCGAAGAGGAAATAGTGAATTCTGGTATTTCTATATTCCTGTAAGTACAATGAGAAATCATGGAATACGATGAAAAGTTCATCACTATGTAATGTAGATGTAGGCTGTAAATTTGAAATATGATTTTTTTTTGTCATAGATAAGAAGTACCATTTCATTCGTTGAAAGTTTTGAAATTCACCACATTAAAAAGACAGTAAAGATGTATGAAAATAAGTTATATGTTATGAAATGAAATTTTAGGACGCTGTCGAAATATGTATACCAAAAGGTCAAACAACGAGTAACTTTGCTAGTAGCTTTCTAAGTTACTCTAGTTTATAATTCTAATAGTAATGATTAAAATGAAATCTCAATTCTAACATTAAACTTTAACATTAAGTTATCACTTAGAATATTTCAAGCGCCAGTATATCGACACATTACTGATGTCTTTCTCTTTTATACTGACTATTCTCTCTTAACTGAAAAAAAAATATTCCCTATGGACACATTTTTTCTTAACTAATAAATGTACTTTCATCCGATATGGGGCGATTTTTATAACGTAGTCCAAGAAATTGCTAACATGGAAAAAGAAAATTTGTTTGAATTTTACAGAAATTCGTCTTTTAAATCGAAGATTTTACGATGACGATCAATTATGGGTTATCAGTTGTTACATTGCGTCGACGACTTAGCGGTTAGGCTTACGGATGAAATGGTGAATATACGATGACAAATTCTTCGCTCATATCACTACCTATTCTGTTTACAAGGTGTCTAAAATAAAATAAAATAACATTTACCTGTGTGAGGTTCATCATTCACTTCACAACTTAATCGCTCTTCATTAAGATATTTGAAATTCTATGCCCGTCAACATCGTATCAATAGTTCAAAAAAATATACACAAAATCATATATTAGTTCACGTGAAATATCCGTTAAACTATCGTCAGAGGAAAACATGAATTCTTTTCTGTATGTTCTATTGCTGCCTATTCTAGCGAGTGGTAGAGTCCAGTGAGACCAAACAATTCTCTGTCGGAATGCAGAACTACATTCAATAGTTTTTTTTTCGATTGTCTTCATAATGTTACCAACAAAAAAAATGAAATCTTCTTTTTATAGTTGTTTTTCCCACAATTTACTTTATTTTCGAATTTTTTCAAACAATATTGATGAAAAGAGTTCATTAGATAAAAGATTTAGGGCTTAAAAATAGACTAGGACCAAGAGATTCTCAAAGTCTTTTTTTTGAAAACTATCAACATGTCGATGTTCAAAGTCATCCATGGTTGTGGGTATATGAATCTTCCCTTCATCCACACCCACACCCTCAAGTAACCGTATGACATTGATCATATTGTTTGCTAACCACAAAAACAATCAGAATAAAGAGAAGAAATCATGAAAGACGCACTGTACCCAACAATTACAGATCGTAAGACTTTATTTTATAAATATAAGAGGTGAAAGAAGTTTAAAATTTGAAAAAAAAGTATTTTCTTGTACGTGTCTACTTTTATTTTACCTGAAATTATCATCATTGGTGAACTGTAATTAACTTTTTTGATGGTAAACAATGACAAATAGTGGAAGAGAAAGAGATCGACAGTTTAAAAAAAATGTTAATTTTCTTGCATTTACTCTTACTTTTTTCATGTTTCAAGCATTTTGACTATTATGATATAATAAATTTCCTAGTGTTCAATAGAATATTTACTATTGATCATGTGCTGAAAACAAGAGAACATAAAGAAATAAATGTTCCATTAGTTTTATTTTTAAGTTTTTGCTCGAGTGTATCATATTGTTAGAAAACGGTAGACCAACAATTGTGTTTTTCTTCTTATATCAGGTATATATTATTCTTTACTTATAAAACATTTCAGTATGACAAAACGAGAGTTTGATCGTGTATGCACACTTTACCTGTAATGTATACTAATGTTTAATCAAGGAGAAAGACCAAGGGAGCAAATCGATTAAAAAAGTCAAAAAAAAAATTTAATGAGAGAAGAATCAGGAAAATAAAAATGCCTAAATAAATTTTAGAAAATTCTTTAGGAATCAAGTTGAATTAATTTTAAAAAAATCTAATTATTCATGACAATCACTGATACATCTGTTTGAGGTAATGTTATAAAATTGAATCCTCGATTTCGATGCCTACAGATACAGTCATCTCGTGTTCATCTTATCGAACGATTCAACTTGGTTCAGAGGCTCAACATTGTATCCATTTACCTTCCTTTTAATTTTTGAAGAATTCCATTAAAGAGTAAAAAAAACTGCGAAATAATGATTGCTGCTGATAGATTGCAATTAGTTTTCTGATCTGATATAGAAATGAAATAATAATAATAAGTGACGGAAGAGGAAGGCAAAAGGAAGTCAATTTCAAAATTAGAGTTTATTTGCACGTATTTATACTCTTTCTATTCTGAGTTTCTTCTTTTCTCAATAGCACTGACGTCTCTATGTGTCCTACTTTTTTTAAATATCTGTAGACCACTACAACAAACAAAAGGTTTGGCAGATCTTTCATGAGTTTATTTTTATTTTGTCTTCTGAAAGTATCATGTTTTTACACAAGCTCCACTCAACAATTTCGTTTTCTTTTTAACATTTGGTACATAATAAACAGTCCAAAATGTTTTTGTGCTTGTGACTCGTTACCAATGTAAGTTCAGTAACGTTGCTAAACTGCCAGCTTTTGAGTATAACCAAATAGCGGACCTTTACACAACGTCTAATCATTTATTTGTTACAAATCAAACTTTTTCTCTATTTGATTCCTTTGACTATAAACTAAAATATTCATCTAAATGAATGTTCGACATCGTCTACATTCCAGCAAAGTATCCAACCACAAATATATAATCTTCTATTCCTTCTAGACATACATTTTTCACGAGTATTTTTATTTTTGTCTGCTTCTATGTGGATATTAGAATTCTTAAAGAGGTAGAAACAGACTATTCATGTCGTTTTTTCATTTTTTTTCTCCTACTACTCCTATACGATTTAAAGTGTTAACGTCTGTTGTTTTTTTGATATGATAAAATATCTATATAGGATGTCCAGTAAGTCCTTAGACAAAGAAAATTTTGAATATCCCTATTACGGCTCGACCGAACAGGCTCATTCTTTTTTACCGAGAATAGAAGTATGTTCACACTTCAAATCCATACGGACAAGATTAGTGAGAAGCTTTCTCAAATATATTGTTTTTTTTCTCTATCTGTAAAAAGTAAAATTTTCTTGTTGAAGTCAATAGTGATACATAAGAAAGATTTTCACTAACTTTATCTGTATTAATTTGTATTGTGAATATGCTTCCATCCTTGTAAAAAAATAAGCCGGTTTGGTCCAGCCATAATGGAGATATTCAAATTTTTCTTTGTCTAAGGACTTGCTGGACACCCTGTAGATGAAAAAAACAATTGCTGGAAGTGATTAAATAGCGCTAGATTTCACTAAATAACTATTGATCATCAAAGAAGAACGAATAAAAAAGCATATTACTGTTTTTCTACTCTGCTTCTTTTTACTTTTTTTGGTTGATTTCGAGAGATCGATTTAGTTTCTGTTAATAGCTGATGAGAGAAAAAGATAGGTTGCTACTGAGATAATGACAATGAACAACATGTGACAGAACGAATTGTAGCCAGAGTATACACAATTCTTTCAATATCGAATCATTCGTTTCAACTGAATCATTCACAAGATGTAAGAGTACTCCTATCCATGATGATATTAAAAATAAATTCTTCTATGAAGAACCTTCAGTGAAAAGTATTTCTTTTGAGATTCTACCCTCTTGAATACAATTCTGTTGTATTTTAACCTAGGTTGAACTGCTCTCCATACGATCGAATAGAAATCTGACTATGTTTTGCATCAATCTTCGTTTACTGATTCTAATCAATTACATGTTAGTACCTGGTCAACTTCAAAGTACATCTGTTGAGTGGCACTCAACTGTCGTTTTGTCCAACTCGGGTTTTGAATTCTCTCCTATTGACAACGCAGCTCTTTTCTTGTTCGAAATCATTGTTGACGCCTTTAAAATCTGTGCTCAAACATGTCATAACACGGCACTTTGTCGTACATTTGACTTCGATGATCAATCACATCGCTGCCGCATCTTTCAAGGCGATTCGGATACAACAGGCTCTATTATTTCTTCGTCATCGTCTCAATCGCGTGTCGCGTCAATCCAACTGAATCCCAATCAATTCGCTAATCTTGGTCAGCCGTGTTCATTTTGTAAAGATAGTCGGTATTTGAGATGCCTTAATTCGACATGTCAATGTCAGGCTAATACTTACTTCGATGAATCAATTTGCCGAAGTCAGAAACTCTTAGGAGACATATGTACCAATGCAATTGATTGTCGAACCGATCTCAATTACACGTGTCTTCCACGCATGCAATGTGGTCGTAAGTATTATTATTTACATAGGAATTTTTGATAGAGATAGACAATTCGTTCATTATCAATTTTTCCTTTGAGAAAAGTCCAATTCTCAGCCAAAAACAATGAAAGCACACATTTTACTATGTTCTAATATAAATCTCTATGGAACTAACACTTGACATGCAGCTTTAAATATATAAATAAAAACTTTTAGTTGGTTCACATTATTCGAAATTGAGTGATCATTCTACTTTCATAATGCTATATAAGTACACTGTTGAATAAACGATGTTTTAGTGAAAATTGAAGATGAATCGGTAGCGCAAAGAAAATGTGAACAATCACTATTTATCCAAATCAAGACTAAACCTTAAGAAAATAGTTTTGTATAACATTACGAAGACGATTGTTGTCTTAGATCTTAATACAGATTTTTTTTTACATTTCTCAAGATAGAAGCTCATCAACATTGTTTTAAGATTTCGTCTCTGTTTTTTAGCACTATCTCTACAAAATGGTATCACTGTTGGTGGATATGGAAATGGTACAGCAGGTTCGGCTAACAATGCTCTCAATGGACCATGGGGATTAGCTGTGGGTATTGATGGTTCGCTCTTTGTCAGTGAATACTTTAATGCCCGAGTGATGCGGCTCCAGGAGGGTTCTACAATTGGCTCACAAGTTGCAGGTTCCACAAGCCGTGGTAATAATCTTAATCAGTTGCAAAATCCAGCAGAAGTGTCCATCGACGCATTATTGAACGTTTATGTGAGTGATGATTTTAACTATCGCGTAATGCTCTGGCGCAACATGTCGTCCAGTGGTATTATCGCAGCTGGTAATGGTTCTTTCGGAAGTACACTGAATACTCTAAGCGTAGCGGCTGGAGTTGCTGTCGACTCCCAAGGAAACATTTACGTGAGTGATACAGGTAACCATAGAGTGGTGAAATGGGCTCTGAATAACACTAGCGGTATGCTTGTGGCAGGCCAAACGGGTATAATGGGTAATAACAGTAATCAACTCAATAATCCATATGGGCTCTACCTAGATGAACCTCATTCGCATCTTTACATTGCTGATCATGGCAATCATCGCATTCAGAGAATAACACTGGATACTTCGACAAACGCTACTACTGTCGCCGCTGGAAATGGAGCAGGATCAGCTGATAACCAATTAAATAATCCATGGAGCATGTGCGTTTCAAAGAAAACAGATGCTATATATATAGCAGACACGGAAAATAGTCGAGTAATACGCTGGATTATTGGGGCAACAAGAGGAGTCACTGTTGTCGGCATTGCTGGCCAGTCAGGAACTTCTCCATTATTGTTCAATTATCCTGTCAATGTGGCGCTGAGCCCCAATGAGACTTTTCTGTACGTGTCTGACATGTTTAACCATCGTATTCAGCGGTTTCAGCTTATTTAATTAATTCATACGTTTATTGCATACTATGTTATCTTTTCCTGCTAAGTTCAAGAACTTTCATCAGTTATACAATCATCAATACTCTTCTCTTGATTGATTATTCAACAGGTGCAAAGAAATTATAAAATCCTTTATTACTTTTTTTTCCATCAATCTTTGATCATCTTGATCTAACAAAACATGATTATCAAGCCATACTTAAGTGCAACTTTGCTTTTTTTAGCTATACGATCACAAAGAACGAACTGAATCTTTTTCATTTTATTTTCTTGTTACTTTTACAAAAGTGTCACTCAATCAACTTACAAAATTTTTTCTCACTAATTCTATTTCATCATCACAATGCATATTTTGATTAGAGATTTTTCAGTCTAACAAAATAAACTAACATATGCAGCTAAAGCAGCATGGCATGATGGATTAATTGGTACTGATGTATTCGAGGGACTTAAAAGATCAGAAATTTGATGAATAGGCCAAACTTTTAGTTCACTTGTTTCATATGCTTCAGGTTGTGTTTATAAAGTATAACGTTGTTGTAATTGATTTGATGTCATTGTTGTTCCAAGAGAAAATTCAAAAACCGGTCGACCATAATGTTTTTGACTTCGCATAATGGTAACAATATAAAAATGTCAATCAATAAGAAGAGAATTTCTATCAACATTTGTTTCATTAACACATGCAGCAATAGTTGATGAAATAATTTCTTTAATTATATTTTCTTTAGTAAATGTTTTTAAATTCTTTGGTTCAGCATGACCACCAGATATATCATATGTATTTGGAAGATCAGTACAAGCAGAACTTCGTTTAATTAAACTAATATAATTATCAGATGTTATTAGAATACATGCAACACCAAGAGCATGTGATAAATGATCTTCTCTTATACATTGACGAATTTCTTCTGGAAGATCTTGTCGTTGAGGACAAATAAATGATTTATAATCAGTTAAATCCAAATTAAGAACAAGTTCGATTGAATTATCTTAATTATTAATGGTTCTTTCAGCTAAATGCAAATGAAATTTTGGTTGATTAAACAAAACTTTCACTCATTTATTATCAGTCAATAAATTATTTCATCTATCATCTAACTTTTTTTGAATATCACTTGGTAATGATTTAGCATTATATAATTCAAGATTAAATTTAACTTTAAATTTATTGAATTTCAATGGTTTTTGTAAATCTGACAGATCAATCCACAAGGTTTACATGAATTTTGGCTTGGCAAATTATAGGTGTGGGTGTCTTTGTATGAATATCAACATACTCACACTCACGCACCCACATCCCAAGATTGTGAGAATTTGATAAGTGCACATCTGAAATCCATTTTTCAAAATTCAATTCTATTCGAGAGCTATCAAAATCCAGAAAACGATAGTTAACATCTGATAGTTTCCTTATATGGTCATACATGACTCAATCTTAAAGAGACCATTGATATTTCAGATCATATATGCATATACATTTTAATTACCGTACTGTATGAGTTAAATTCATTCATGAAGAAATCTTGAATGTTTAGAAAGATATTGACATGGCTTATACAAATGAGATACGAAGATCGATAATAAATAGCTGAGAGTTTCTTAATATAGCAGTACTCTACAGGAGTCTATGATCATCTTCTGACTTTTTCGGGCACGTGTAGTCGGCCGACCTTTTTCTACTCGAGTGCCAGTCTAGTTTCTTTTGCTCTTCACTTTTGAGTTTTTGGAAAACTCATTGAATATTCGAGATCAGGAAAATTTTTTCGCCTCTGGAGAAAAATCAGCATTCATGGGAGGTGACAAACATACGTAACAATTATCTACTACACATGCCTTTTGATTATTTTGTTGCTAATGTGATTTTTGATATCTAAAATGGGACCTTGTTTGAGTTAATGTCTCACAAACTCAGAATGGGGCATACCATCGCTAGTTTCTCTTGATAATATTTTATTCATTCCAGAGATAAAAAATCGAAATCATAACACCTATATCATATCATTTTATATTCTGTTTAGAATGATTCATTGTTCTATGATATTTCATGATTGTTCAACTAATATCATAATGGTAAAATTTTGTTTGTTCTGATATATAACAATACTTATTCTAAAGAAAAGGGGGTGAATATTTTTAGAATAATTCTTGATACAAACAAGATAGACAACTGCGATTTTCATCGTTGGAAAGACATTTAGACTGCTAGTCGAATACAATGTACGATTCGATGAGTCGTCGGCTCTTCTTTTCAATGGTGAAAATCGCAGTTCTCTATCTTGTTTCTATCAAGAGTTATTCTAAAAATATTCACTCCCTGTTCTTTGAAATGAGTATTGTTGTTACCCTCACATATCAGAACAAACAAAATTTTATTATTATGATATTAGTTGAATAATGATGAAATACCGTAGAAAAATAGTTCATTTTTTTTTACTATGTATTCATATTCAGAGAAAGTTTCTTCAAGCTGTTTTTAGAGAACCAAAGTATTGATGCACGTTTGTTTGGTGCCCATTCGAGAGAGAACAAGGAGCGACTCCACTCATATTCGATTATACAGCAACCGTCATGCTATTGGCTTATTTTTTGCACCATTTGCCATTTTATTTTTTCTAACGTATTTATAAATATATTAAGTAATGAAGAACGCAATAGTGTCACGTGCAAACGACAGAACGATTGTGCAGTTTCATTTTTTTTTTATTAAGTATTTATTTGTTTATTCATATTCCTGGTTGAAATTGCTCATATGGATAAGATACACAGCTATTTATGTACTATTTATAATTTACCTTGTAAAACACATGAAACAAAATACAGTCATCGCCTAAAAGAGGAGTCGTATTTCATGCAAGATAATTATCTCAATAGTCAAACAAAAATGACGGTAAGTATGTACAATTATCAATATTTTAACTAGGAAACTAATATCGATTGATTAGATTCTAAATTACGGATTTTTGAAATGATCTATCGGCACGTACATTTTAAAGAATTCTTCATATCTTGTCTCCCAAGGAACTGCATTTTTTAAATTTCATTTATTATCATTCTAATTATTAATACCATAGAAAAAAATTATTTAACGAGAAATCTTATTTTGAAAGACAGAGTGAATTTCATATAACTGCAGCAAATGAACTACGTCTCATATTATCGACGTACATCCTACCATGAGTTATATTATCATGTATGTATACACTGGATAGGGGGTCGTTTATTACGAAAGAAAAAAATATATATATTCTCCTTCGTTTGCTATAGGTCATCGGCATCAATAAAACCAAGATATATTTCTCTTTTATATTACCGGCATTGGTAGTTTTGGTGTACGTCTCACACAGTATAATTACTTGGTCGGATAGCGATTGTACATCAGACAGTTTAACTAAAATTGATCCTCGCTATGGTAGAGTCGGTAATCCAAATGTCATTCTCGAGGATGATTGTGCACTTCGAGCCTTTACAATCGAGATGGCTACCTATATTGCACCTTCATTCTGGAAAAGTAATTGGACAGCACTCAGTGAAAGTGCCTTTCAAATGGATGAATGTAATAAAATGACACATCGTGCTTATCAATCGTCCAGCACCAGTAAACCCTTCAAGACAGCGCCGGAAATTACAAAAGATATTTGTTATCGCACAGTGTTTGTACATAGTGTAACTGGTCATGACTTGTTCGATGGAACGTTCGAAAGACCTATGAAAACTATTCAAGCCGCTTTAACTCTCACACGAACTCTGCGTACTATGCACAATAGTGGTTATACACTGTGTATTAGCATACGTGGAGGAACCTACTATCTTGGTACGAATGTTACTACGACTAGTAGTCAAATTGGTGCGATCGCACTGACAAGTAATGATAGTAATCTTGTAATCGAAAACTATCAGGATGAGCGCGTCGTATTGAGTGGTGGCACATTATTACAACTGCAATGGTCCGTTCATGCAAAAACAGCAGCTGGTGGTACAATCATGAAAGCTCAGATACCATCTTATGTTAAACTCGACGATTTTAACGAGTTATATATCGATGGTAGGAGAGCTATTGTCGCTAAATATCCTAATGGTGATCCTTCTACTCAAGGCTTATATGCCAAAGATCCTGGATTCTCTTTTGATGCGCAAAGATGGTGGCCACCGAGTTTTAATCCAAGTGTAGAAATTCGTGTACAAGAACCTTATCGTAACGGCACAGTATTTACAAATTATCAACTTGGTGTAGGTGGTGGTGCTGCTGTTTTTAATCCACCTACCAATTTTTGGAGTACAGCTTCACCACCTGGAGGCGATAATTATGTTGTTCCTCGTGGTCTTACCATGAAAAGTGGTGCCATGCCTCACATTGATAATTGGAGTAAGCCTACGACTGGTTTCGTGCATGCTTTTCATGCTGGTTATTGGGGTAGTTGGGTATTCGAAATAGCATCGATCAATACTACCGAAAATACCATTATGTTTGCCCGAGGAGGATTTCAAGAAGCACGAGGTTCGGATGCCGGTGGTGCATTTTATGTTGCAAACATTTTCGAAGAGCTTGATTCACCAAATGAATGGTTCTTGGACAAAGATATTCGTACTCTCTATTTTATGCCCAACGAAACTGTGCCTGACGTTTTTGTGGCCAGTCAAATTCCTTGTCTCATTTCCATCACTGGTAGTAGTATCGAAGATTCTGTCAAAAATGTACTAATACGAGGTTTGATACTAACAGAGACAAGTAGTACCTATATGAGAGATTATATGGTACCAAGTGGTGGTGATTGGGCTGTTCATCGAGGTGGCACTATGTATTTGAGAAACACGCAATATGTCACTATTACACACAATTTATTCACACAATTGGGTAGTAATGGTGTGGCTTTAATTGATTATAACTTTGCTACCTCTCTTACTTTGAATGAATTTGTATGGTTGACTGATTCGGCTATCATACTTGTTGGTAGTACGTATGGAATTGATGGCTTTAGTATCGCTAGTCAACCTGACAATATACTCATACAGTCCAATCTCATACATGAGACTGGTATCTATATCAAACAGTCATCACCAGTATTGATTGCTATAAGTAGGAGTGTGTCTGTCGTCGGTAATCTCATGTTCAATATACCACGAGCGGCAATCAATATCAATGATGGTTTCTATGGTAATCATACTATTAGTTGGAATGTCATATTCAATACTGTGCGAGAAACTAGTGACCATGGACCAATCAACACATGGGATCGACAACCATTTTTGAGTGATGCAGTGCAACATGACGTACCTTCACTCTGGCAGCATGAAAGTTATATTCATCATAATACTCTCTTCAATAATTACAACGCTCTATGGCCCATTGATCATGATGATGGTAGTTGTTTCTATGAAGATAGT